GACCAGCTACGGTGTGCGGCGCTGGCCACTGCCACTCTGGACTCGGGGCGAGCGTACGTGTGACCAGCAACTGGTTAGCAGGCGTGCAATCCAAGGCGAGAAGATCGCCCACATCTAGGTCACGCCGAACAGCGGCATGAGCGGGGCAGCAGCGGAAGCGATGACTGGGCGTGCCCAGCCTTTCTCCACAAAGCTGGCAGAGGGGGTCCACAACACGACGATCGTCATACAGAATCAGTTGGGTTGGGTAGCCTCCAGAGACAATCCCAGCGAGTCCCGTGGCTGCCGTGAACCTTTCTTCTCCCCGAAGCTTCTGAAGGACCTCGGTGACGGGCTCGAGCATAGGCCCTCCTGAAAGACCTGGGACTCTGACACCATCTCCCAAACCTCTCAGCAGCATATCCCGAACGGCCTGGTGAAGAACAACCTTGAGCGACCTGTATCCCAAGAAGCTCACATCTACTTCAACTCCCCGAACAGTCACAAACTTGCACCAGCTTTTGACCTGCCAACCCAGCCTTTCGATCGTGAGGGCAGCTGCGCCCGCGGGTCCACGGACATCTTGCCACCCACGAGCAGGTCGGCGATAAAACGAATTGAAACACTCCTCCATGACGCGCTGCTCTGCCCAGCTCAAGCGAGCGGCTTGTCCCCAAGCAAGGATGGGTAACGCATGCACGTCATATGATGGATCCGCCTTGGGCTCCACCGAGAGGAGAAACTCCAACGTCCTGCACCTCCCTTTTGGAGTCCCAAAGAGCGCACTCCCCAAACTGGCACGAAGCTGGCCAAGAGCGGAGGTGGACATACCATTGACACGGCAACCGTAAGTGGCCGAGGGAAGGCCTCCCGTCCGAGCAACCTTGAACAAACCCTTCGTGGCACTGCTGAGCCCTCGGAGTCTGCCCCTCCGAAGCCTGATTTTATGCAACCGTTTTTGGAGGACCTTGGATCCCTTGGCTCCTTTCTGCATCGTCTGGTCGCAGCCCAGGTTCCGTCCAGAGCTAGCGCCAGTAAGGTTCCACTTCTTAAGCCTAGACACAATGGTCGCCCTCGCCGCCGAGTGACTGCAAAGGACGAGGCCCTTCGACCTCGAGATCACCAGTAGCAGCTTCTCGAGCTGCAGGCACAGAGAGTACACAGCTCGGGGCAGGACGCTCTCGACATGCTTCCTACTGCCCGAAGCCTGCGCCGTGATGTCGTCTACTACATTGAACAACTGCACACTAAAGTAAAGCTCCCTGGTGAGGTCCATGGGGCCCATGAGCATCACACGTAAAAGCGTAGTCGCAAAACCACAGCCTGCCAGGATCCCTTGGAACGCCTGCACGGGGTTTCCAACCACTCCACACACATTGATGATTCTTCTCGCGCGGTAGAGCGACAGCAAAAGGCGCAGCTTCACCAGACTAAACTTATGCTTGACGGCCGCGACGGCCAGCAAATAATGGCACACCTTCTCGTAGGCCTTTGTGAGGTCCACGAGGCACGAGCCTGAACAGCCACCTACACTGACATGCTGCTCGACCGTCAAGCTCTGCTCCCAAACCGCTCGTTCGCAGCTCTTGCCGCGCACACCGTACAGATAAGCACGATTATTATCACGCTCCCAACGCTTTATCTCGCCCCGCGACAGCTTGGAGAACACGCGCGCTGGTGTGGGCAGCAGGGCTATCGGGCGAAAACCTCCTTCGGGCTTCCCCAACATGGCAAGGATGGTGGTGAGGAGGATGGTGGGGTAGGTGCCCAAGAGCTCCATCTTAGGCCACAGCGCGCCCAAAACCTCCAGTAGGCCATCCGAGGCCTTGTCCAGGTCCCGAGGCCGAAGCGCATCCACTCCAGCCGCCGTCCTTTTCGGAAACTTCCTGATGGCAACCCTGATGTCTCCCACGGACCGCTCCTCCGAACATAGCTCCTGGACCGAGACTCCCTGCTCGTCAGCCTGGGACTGGATCTGGTGCGTCAGGAACTGGATGGGATCGGGGAACATCGAGGCCTCTGGGAGGGGCTCCCAGATGTCACGCCAGAACTTGGTAAGCCCATCGACCGTCTCTTGAGGTCCCAGCGGGGCCGAGAAACCTCCAGCCTTGACCGTGCTTGACTCAGGGGGTACCCAGCCGATCGGGCACTGCGAATACTTGTGCGCCTTGCCAGCGCCAGCAGATACAGCCTCCTGCACCCACTCTCGCCAACGCTTGCCACGCTCCGCGGTAAACTTGCGTTCATACACTTTGGCGAAACCTTCAGCCTCGACGCCCCAGGCCTGCAACTGCTCGAGGGAGGCGTGAAACCTACTTCCAAAAGACGGGACCCACTGCTGCCAGGACACGTCTTTGCGCAACTGCTTAGGTCCCCACTCGACCGCCTTCAGAAGCCCCATAGACTCGCCCTCACCCCATCTGAGTCCCCGTCTCTTGATGTAAACCAGCTCCGAGAAAAGCTTGGAAACGCGACGCCACCCACGACTCTCAGGACATCCGACGGGATACCGACCTCCAGACGTCCTGACAGCTGATACTTTCACAATGGTAGGCTCCTCCGCTCTACCAAAATACTGCTTCTGCTCCAAGACTCCGTGATAGGTCCCAAGCTCACGTTCCAGCGACTCGACGAATAACCGATAGCACGCATCCAACGACTCACGATCCCCAACCGATCGAGCAGAGTCCAGGAGCTCCCGATAATCGAGTGGTTCTGGCATGGGTCCTATCACACTGTCCTGCGGGAAAGCCCTCGGCTGGCGGAGCGACTGGACCAGCACGCTCAAGGGCTCGCTGCGAAACTTGACCACGACGGGCCAGTGCGGCTTCGTCGACGCCTTCCTACTGATGGCACAAGAATGGACGCTAGCCGCCAGACCTGCAGACATCACACAATAATCGATCGTTTTCCAGACCTTGGCAGTGGACCTACACGTGTAAGATGCTGGCTTCACAATCTGTCCCCCAAGACGACCAGCCCACCCCAACTCCAGGAGTCTATCTGGTGAAACGTTCCAGTCACCTCCAAGGACAAACGGTAAGCCCCAAGAATGCAACTGCTCTCCGATTCTACTCAATATTTGGCCCCCCGTGGGCCCCAATGGGTCCTGGTCGGGCAAGTAGATGGACCCAATGATGAGCCCCCCCTGGCACATACGCGTTGACCCACATCAGCTGCTGGCGATGCGGGCTCGGCAAGCGCTTGACGTCCGTCGGCGGCAAGCCCAGCCCGACGAAATCCCTGCACGCAACCGTGACGCCTCCTGACAGGCCTCCAGCCTCGGTGACCTCCGACGGGTGAATCGACGCCTGCCAGCCTAGCTTCTTCAACTGAGCTTCACATTCAACTCGATCCGACGGGTCGACAGTTAGTTCCTGAAGCATGACGATCTGACTCGATGCTTCCCCCTGGAGAAACTGCTTCGCCGAGGACCAAGCCGTGGTATTACAGGTTTCTAGACAGAAAAACTCTCCCTGGCTAGACCTGGACGATTTATTCTTACTCTGCCCTGGCTGGGCAGACCTAATCTTACGAACTACTTGTGGCCCTGTAAGAGGCCTGGCACTAGGGGGAGGAGGAAGAGCTGGGGACGGCAGATCGGGGGGATGGGATGTCGGCGGGGGCGGGGGCCAAACCAGGGACCGAAAGAAAATCCCAGGGGGCGGAGGAGCGGAGGTGCTCGAGCCATCCCACGTGGTGGTCGACACGAGATTCGAGCGGCGCCTGAATTCAGCCTGACTGAGTTGCTTCTGCCACTTCCCCCCTTCGATCCGAACGAGCTGCTTTCGTCGGTGAGGGTCTACACGAGGACAGCATGGCTTGCCGTGGGCGGGGCAGGAGGAGGGGGGGGTGTAGTAGGGGCAGGAGCCAGTGGCGATGCCCGTATCTGTGATTTCTAGATTGCGCTCGGCCACTCGGGGCCTTCTCGGTGTCACTGAGAACCTTGGGGGCCACTTCTTCATGAGGAGGAGTGGGAGGGAGGAGGTGAATGATGGGGGGAAGGAGAGGGGAGGAGGGGCGGGGGGGAGGAGGCGAATGAGGGGAAGGGGGGGGGACAAGGAGGAGGGGAGGCGAGGGAATGCAGAAATCAGTATTCTTACTGCTCTCCAAAGTTGTCCCAATGCCGATCGTGTGGCCGATGGCCCTGGGCCAGGAAGGTGCGGTGACGGACAGTCTGGCAAGCAAGTCGCACCCTGCTCTCAGGGAAGGTGAACCCACCAGGCTCCATGCTGGGTAGCAACCCAGTCTGGACCCAGTGCAGTGCAATCAGGCCCTTCCCCTACTAAAGACAAGCGTGGAAAATGCCACAGGCGTGAGATTGGATGGGTAGATTGCTCAAGAGAGCCATCACGGCAACGGTGGGTGCATGACGCCCAAATGTCACGCCTGCTACATCGCGGTGATCATGTGACCCTGAAAAGAGACACACCTACTTCCCCAAACGGGCGCTTTCCTCTAGATAATCCCACATTCTGAACGCGAGCGGGCAAGTATCCTAATTGCCCCCTAGCGGCTCCCCTTCGGGGCGCCCTGCCACGACTGCTACATCGCGGTGACCATGCGGACCTGCCAAGAAACACGTCTACCCCACAAACCAAGCGCCTTGCTCGAAGCATCCCCACAATATGTGCGCGACCGGACAAATGTTCCACTCTGTCCGCCCGCTTCCCCTCCCCCCCCCCGGCGAGGGACGTACTCCGTGACGCCCTGGGGCGTGTTCTTGTCGCTGTAGTCCTCGGAGGTCACCGCGGCGGAGGTGAGGCGGGGAGGGAGGAGGGCGAAAGGAGGGCAGGGTGGAGGGAGGGAGGGAGGGAGGGAGGAAGGCAGGCAGGAGGGATTGGAGGAAATGGGGGAGAGGAAGGCAGGCGGAAGGTAGGAGCAAGGAAGCGCGACACCACCACCAGCAGCACGCGAGGAGCCAGGGCGGGGATGGTGTGATACCCCCTCTCGCTCGAGACGTCCCCCATCCCCAGCTCGGGGAGACATCGTGGACCCCCTCGCTGGAGGTAGGATGCGGGGAGGGGGGTATGAATGGGGCCCTGGGACACACACACACATACACACATACACACACATGCATACATCATATCATAGATATATATATATATATAATATATATATATATATATATACTAGAACCATCGCGCGCGCTTCGCGCGCGCTCAGGTTCTAGCAGGCCCCAGGCCTTGACGAATTCACTGCTCCACTGAAGTAGTGGACCACAGTCCACGCATGCCAATCTGCATTCCGAAAGGCCTTCGAGGAAAATGGTTGTGTAGGGGGGGCGGAGGCCGTACGAATCGGGTTCCCAGAAGGCCTTCTGGAAGCATGGGTTTGGGGCGTCTTGGGGAGCCTGTAGGGGCGTGCCGTCGTCGTCGCAATGTCGTCGTCGCCTATTGGGGCGCGCCGTCGTCGTCGTCGTCGTCGATTCAAGAGGGCACTTGGGGCAACTTTGTGCGAAACGATCTGCGGAGGGCCACGAGACGGCGATCAGTCATGTTCCCAATCGACTTCCCAGACAGCTCTCCTGTAGCATGATGGTACTTCGAAGCCTCCGGAGACTCGCGGGCCCATGATGAACCATGTCCCCAGAAGGCTTTCTGGGGACATGGTTTGTTGGGGTGTGTTTGGGGGCCTCTTGGGCGTTCCCTGGGAGCTCCTTGGGGGTCTCTTGGGGTTTCCTGGGGGCCTCTTGGGTGCCTCACGGGGCTTCGTGGGGGCCTCTTGGTGGTCTACGGGGTCCTACAGGCGGCCTCTAGGGACAGAGACCTCGAAATATCGGTTGGCGGTCCCCTTCTGGGCCCTCTCTTGGGGAGCTCTTGGGGCACACTTGGGTTGTCTGGGGAGCCTCCTGGGCCGTCTTGGGGCCCTCTTCGGGGCTTCGTGGCCCGTCTTGGCGCGATCTGAAGGGACTCCGAGCGAGGCCGTGAGGAAGCGCTGGGAAGCGGGGAAAGCGAGAACGCCGAAATCCTTCAAAAACTATCGGACAATTAGTGAATCTTGCCTCCCAGGGCCCTGTTGGGGAGCCTCTTGAGTCCGTCCTGGAGCGTGTTGGAGTCCTCGTCGGCCGTCTTGAGGGCAGCTTGGGCGTCTTCGGGGCCTCTTGGGACCGTCTAGGGTCCTCTCGGAACCTCCATTAGCATGTCGTGCCCTGCTTCGGGGCGGGCCCGGGCCGCCTCGGGACCCCTCGGGGCCTTCTCTTGGCGCGCTCTTGGGGCACACTTGGGTTGTCTGGGGAGCATCCCGGGCCCCTGGGCCGTCTGGGGGCCCTCGTCGGGGCCTCGTGGGCCTTCTTGGAGCGATCTGAAAGGCCTCCGAGGCCGTGAGGGTGCGCTGGAAAGCGGGAAAAGCGAGAACGCCAAAATCCAAAACACTCTGAAAACGAAAGAATCTTGCCTTCCAGGGCCCTCTTGGGGAGCCTCTTGAGTCGTCCTGGAGCGTGTTGGAGTCCTCGTTGGCTGTCTTGACGGCATCTTGGGTGTCTTGGGGGCCTCGTGGGACCGTCTTGGGTCCTCTCGGGGCCTGTCGTGGCCTGCTTCGGGGCGGGCTCGGGCCGCCTCGGGAGCTCTGCACCCCTCACACAACTCCTGGTGAGCACCGATAGGGGGAACAAGCAGCGGCCCGCCCCCCCCCCTGGGCCTACTCCGAGATAGAGAATCATGTTCCCGGGAAGCTTTCCCGGAGCATGATTGGTTCGGCTCTCTAAGAGGGGGGCCTCTGGGGGCTTACCGAGGGGCGCCTGTTGGCCTTGTCGGCAAGCCTATTGGAAACATGGTTGGGGCGGATGGCGGAAGCCCAAGGAATCATGTTCCCGGAAAGCTATCTGGGAAATACGATTTACCGAAGTGTCTTGGGGGCCCGCAGGGGGCTTCCCTGGGGGTCCCTTGGGGGCCTATTAGGGCTTCCGGGGGGCCTCTTGGGAGCCTCACGGGGCTGAGCCTCTTGATGGCCTCCGGGGGCGTCCTAGGAGCCTCTCAGGCCGGAGACCTCGAAACGTCGCGCTCTTCGGGCCCTCTTGGGTCGCTTTTGGGGCTCTCTTGGGGCGCTGTCGAAGCTCTCTTGACTCATCTGGAGAGCCTCCTGGGCCGTCTCTGGGTTTTCTTGGGAGCCTCTTCGGCCGTCTTGGAGCGATCTGAAGGGCCTCTGACGCGGTCCAGGACCGTGGGGAGGCGGAACATGGGAGAGCGCAAGAATGCTTCAAAAACCATTGGAAATTTAATGATTTTCGGCGTCTGGGGCCCTTTGGAGGGGCTTCTGGAGGCGCTCTTGGGGCGTTTTGGTGGCGTCGTCGGCCGTCCTGAGGCCATCTTCGGCGTGTCCAGGGCCTCTGGGGGCTGTCTTTGGGCGTCCTGGGAAGCCGGAAATCATGTTCCCGGAGAGGCTTCCAGGAACATTATTTCGAACGAGGCTCTCGTGGGCCTCCCTGAGGCCGTCTTGGGGGCCTCCTGGGCTGGCTTTGGGGCCTCTTGGGCCGTGTCGGGGGGTTCCGTGAGCCCCACAGGCAGGCCCTTTTGGGCCGTCTGGCGCCCTCTTGGGTCTCTCTTGGGCTGTGTTGGGACTCCGCGGGGGCGTCTGTGGCACTGCGACGACGAAGCCAGCGAGTATGCCGAAAATGTACGTTTTACTACGGGAGCGGGCTGATTTGTGCCTCTTGAAGGCTCTCTCGGGGCCCTCTTCGGCCATCTTCCAGTCATCTCGGGCCCTCCGCGGCCTCGCTGAGGCTGTCTTGTCGGCCTCTTGGGCGTTCTCGGAACCCAGAAATCATGTTCCCGGAGAGGCTTCCGGGAACATGATTTCGAACGAGGCTCTCGTGGGTCTCCCTGAGGCCGTCTTGGGGGCCTCCTGGGCTGGCTTTGGGGCCTCTTGGGTTGCCTCGGGGGGTTCCGTGAGCCCCACAGGCCGACCCTTTTGGACTGTCTTGGGCCCTCTTGGGTCTCTCTTGGGCTGTCTTGGGGCTCCTCGGGGGCGTCTGGGGTACTGTGAAGACGAAGCCAGCGAGTATGCTGAAAATGTACGTTTTACTACGGGAGCGGGCTGATTTGTGCCTCTTGAAGGCCCTCTCGGGGCCCTCTTCGGCCATCTTCCAGCCATCTCGGGCCCTCTGGGGCCTCGCTGAGGCTGTCTTGTCGGCCTCTTGGGCGTCCTCGGAACCGGAAATCATGTTCCCGGAGAGGCTTCCGGGAACATGATTTCGAACGAGGATCTCTTGGGCCTCCCTGAGGCCGTCTTGGGGGCCTCCTGGGCTGGCTTTGGGGCCTCTTGGGTTGCCTCGGGGGGTTCCGTGAGCCCCACAGGCCGACTCTTTTGGACTGTCTTGGGCCCTCTTGGGTCTCCCTTGGACTGTCTTGGGGCTCCTCGGGGGCGTCTGGGGTACTGTGAAGACGAAGCCAGCGAGTATGCTGAAAATGTACGTTTTACTACGGGAGCGGGCAGATTTGAGTCTCTTGAAGGCCCTCTCGGGGCCCTCTTCGGCCATCTTCCAGCCATCTCGGGCCCTCCGGGGCCTCGCTGAGGCTGTCTTGTCGGCCTCTTGGGCGTCCTCGGAACACAGAAATCATGTTCCCGGAGAGGCTTCCGGGAACATGATTTCGAACGAGGCTCTCGTGGGTCTCCCTGAGGCCGTCTTGGGGGCCTCCTGGGCTGGCTTTGGGGCCTCTTGGGCCGTGTCGGGGGGTTCCGTGAGTCCCACAGGCAGGCCCTTTTGGGCCGTCTGGCGCCCTCTTGGGTCTCTCTTGGGCTGTGTTGGGGCTCCGCGGGGGCGTCTGTGGTGTGGGCACGACGGGTTCAGGCGGCCATCGCAAGATGTACTGAAAGGGATGCCTTTGCACTCAACGCACACAGAATGGCTTGAGCCAAAGCGTCAGTCACGGCGCTGTGCACAAGCAAGCATACAACAGACACAAACACAGAAAAGCACGGATAGTCAGGACGAGAGGGAGCCATATGATTCCACAGCTCCCCCCACTTACTGTCGACCTGACTCCTCGAGGCGGCGCTCGCGATCCTGTAGATAGCGGCGGCTGGCCTCTCGACTGCGCCGGCCCTTCTCACCACCGGCCAAGAGGTGAGCCCTCTCCGACTCAGCATCACTCAACGTCAAAGTCCCACGGCGAATCATGCGACCCATGGCATCGGACCCCTTGGACACATCAGCCTTGGTCATCACATCAGTGGGATTGAGCAGGTGAGGAAACCACTTCACGCACGAGCCCCGCTGGGAGAAAGAGTCACGAGCAATTGCGAGGTCCACGGAAGTCCTGCGGTCCTCCTTCCGGCCAGCACAGTTCTTGGAAAGACAGTCGAAGATGGACTTGGCGTCCGTGGCATGAACTCCAGGCAAGGGTCGGTGCAACTCGCAGTTGTCACGGAACACCGACACGTAGGGGCCTGCGTGCTGTCGCCAGTCGGCAGTAGGAACGTCCCCAAAGCAAGCGTCACGAAGTAGCAGCTGGATCCAGTCGGCTTCTCCAAGAGACTGGCAGAGAGAGTTGGCCTCACCGGCCAGGGATGAGTTGGCAGCTCGACGCATCTTGGAGGATCTCCAGGAAAACATCGTCACCTTGCTGGTCAGTCCGGCGGCCAGCTGAGGGTCAGCCACTCCCACAGCCCAGGCACACTGTATGGGTGAGTCCGTGCCAATCCCCGCCGCGTCGCTCAAAGTAAAACTCACCACCTGCGATAGGTCGTGGCGCCAGATGGTCAGGTACTGCGAGGCGGTGTCACGCAGCATCTGG